CAATCACAAATTAAATTATTTATATTGGATTTAATTGTGATGGATATAATCCCTCACCAGTTTTAATATATGTGTAACATTAACGGTCTCTGCTGTTAGCTTATTTTCATCAAAATTACTTCAAATTAAACCATTTCTTTTCCATTAAAAAATGTACGTACATACGTTCATATGTACAAGAATTACTGTCATATAAAAATAAAAGTAAACTGAAATTCTACCAATTAAACTGAAAATTTATAAATACTGAAATAACGATAATGCAAACATGTGACTATAAATAATGCAACTGGTTGAACAACTAGTTGAATTTAAATGTAACAGGTTACAAAATACATTAAAACACGTTTAGCGTTTGCATAATAAAAAACTTTATTTACCAAAATGTCATAGAAAGAAGAAAGTAACTATCCGAAAAGTCCTGAAATTATTCTAAAAGATGAATATCAAACAATCAAGTATCTCATAATTAAAGAAGGTGTATATCCACCAAAGCATAAACTTAAATATACTCAGCGTCCTGCAAAGCATCCTATACCTCATAATTATGTTGTTCGAACTACATATTCAAAAAAAAAATATGTTGTTGAGTGCTCAATAGATTATATTGATAATAAACCATTATACCAAATACACTTTGAAAAGTATTTAGACAAATTTGTAGAGTCAGACCAGTCAACTTCTCATGCTGCACAATTATATTGTGAGGTAAAATAACAAATATTTTAAAGATTAATATCAGATTAATATCAGATTAATATTATAAACAAATTTCATACTATATAATTTTTATTAGGCTTTGGCTAAAGATATTCAAAACAAGGAACGTGCAGAATCTAAAAGCAAGCTCTCTGGACCTCTTCTTTTTGGCTTACACTATAAAAGTGTAGAAGTAGCTCGTAAAACATTACCATTAAACGAGTTAGTACGAATAAAACCATTTAATAATTATAGTGCCTCAGCACAGCACAAACACATATTAGGTTTAGGAAAACGGTTATTAGAATTTGTAGAAGAAGGAAAAGAAAATTTTTTTCATCAAAATGATAACATCGTTCTTAAGCAAGCAAAGTTTGAAATCAATGGTTCTATATATAATATCAATTATGGAAAAATCAATAAACAAAAAATAGAATTACAGACACAAGCTATTGTAAAGTCAATTGATCGTAATCGAATTTCTCAGGATGCATATAGGTCTTTGGCTAAACTTGACGAATCGCTAATTAGAGCTGAAGCAGTTTATGATATGAGACAAGAAATAACAAATAAAGTAAATAAAAAAATTCCTATTAGTTTAGTCGATATTGACCAGCTAACCAGTTTTGAACCAATTACTGAAGAGTCTGATATTACAGATCCAATTATAGTTTCTAATGTCATTGCATCTATCGGAAAAGGCGGACAACGATGAATTACAGACATACTTAATTATATAATTCCACTGTATGTTCAAAAAGAGATTTTAAAACTTGGATCTACCTTGCATTTACGTATATCCGGAGATGGCCGAAATGTTGGTAAAAAAGTAAAGCACGTTATGATAACTGTTGCACTTCTGAATAACTTAGCCAAGTTGTATAAACCAGAATCACACTATACAGTAGTTTTATTCCCTGGTATGGAAAATTATTATTCGCTTCAAAATGCACTAGCACCTTTGATATCAGACTTAAGATTTTTAAACAAACATGGATTTTATGAGGTTGGAGGAAGACATTGGAATGTCAAGCTATATTTTAGTTCGGACTGGAAGTTCCTAGCTATATGTTTAGGAATGAACGCAGCAAACTCCAAGTATTTTTGCCTGTGGTGTTATTGTAATAAAGAAAACTTAACCAATATTGTTGAATATAATACAATTTCTAAAGATATGCATAATATTAAAGAATCTTACTCAACACTTAATGGACACATTCGACCTCCTCTTTTTGATATGATTCTGATTAAACATTGGGTGTGTGATAGTTTACACGCTATGTTAAAAATATGTGACTGACTCTGGGAATTATTTTTATCAGATCTTCAACATGGTCAATTAAATGAAAGTTTGCAAAATTTAATTATAAATGAAATGAAAAGGCTACGAATTAATCATTTTCATTTTTGGATTGAAAGTACAACACAAAGATCATTTTATACATTATTAATGGGCCCTGACAAGCTTAATATTTTGGAAAATTTCGATTTCACTAATTTTATATCAAAGGAACTTCCTCAAGAACGTGCCCTTCAACTTCGCCAACTCTGGACCAGCTTTTTTGAATTATACAAGATGATGGCACTACCGAATATAACGGAATCAGAATTTAAAATTAAAGCAGAATCATGATTAAAGCTCTTTTTAAAGCCATTCAAGGGACAACCGAATCGATCAAATTTTATCCATAGCATGTATCGAGTAAATATATATGCATGTTTTTGCATTCTTAAAATTTTAAAATTTATTTTTTTTATGCATAACAAAAAGGCAGCCGATACTACATCTTATATGCACGTGTTAGTAAGTCATGTTTATGAATTGATTGATGTTCATCAAGAATTTGGGATAGCAGCATTTAACTGTTCAGCTATTGAGAAAAAAAACCATCTTCAGGTCTGTTGCTACTTTCAGTCCACGCTTAAAGATGGTGGTCATGAAAGCTATAGACGGTCGTACATTCTTGAATTATTAGAACACGAAAATTAAGAATTATTTTTTCAAATTTTCAATGTGCCAAACTATTTTAAAAAAAGTACATCATATAGGTTAGGTCAGTGACTATAGGGCTACCCTTCCTCTCTCCACATAAAACCAATTAATTAATCATATACTATATGTTTATGCATAAGATATTGCTATAGTACATATGCAAACCCTTACCCCCTAAAAAATCATGAAAATTAGTTTGTTATATCTTACTTTTTGAACATTTTCAGTCTAACACTGTTAATTCCAATAGCATTTAGTAACTATGTATAAGAAATCATATTAGTCTGAGAATAGTTTTATTTTTGTGAATGTAGGAAATAATAATAATATCAATAAGGAGAAAATAATCATTACTAAATGAAATAAAGTAATGATCAATATTAATGCTTTGAAATAGTATTTAGGTTAGATTTTAAACAAACAACCTTGATTTTTTGACTAATAAATCAAGTGAAATTTGTGTAATAACAATATTTTATTTTGCTTAACAGGTATGTTTTCTTTTATTTTATGTAATTTATTGTAATATTCTATAGATTTACTCAGATATAAAATAGTCGATATTAGAATTATCTGGTATCGTATTTGATTAGCTGCATCTAATATTACAAATAAAATTACATACTATAGTAAGAATAACATTATTAAGAATCTTGGCAAACAATGCTATAAAAATTAGTGCTTTAAAACGTGCTAATTTTATTCTAAATATAAGTCAAACTTTTATACATATTAAATCACAAGAGAAACATGAACAATTTTAGCTTAGTTAGTGAAGAATGTCTTAGAGAATTTCAACAAGTATTTTGTAAAATAATATTAGCCCGCAGCCTTTTCTCCTTTCTTTTACATGCCTTTATCATCGATTGACCACTTTTTTGTTACTAAGGTCATAGTCATCACAATCTCACCTAAAAGAAGAATATTTTAATAAATAGTAACATTAAAGAAAAGAATTCTTTTATGAATTTCTTTTACAGACTCTACTTCATTCCTTCATTCTGTCTATGTATTAATTTGATGAAATGAATCGTCAAACTATATGCATATCACTCTAGTTATAACGATATCTGGATATTTTTTAAAGATATCGATATAATTCAATGTAATACATTTTGAATTTTTAATATGTTGAACAATACAAGAGCATTTATGCATAATAAAGGAGTATAAAAAAAAGGTATACACCATAATAAAATATTATTGCCGACAAATTTTCATTTAATACTATGCTAATTCAATCATCACCCAGCATTGGTCATTAACAATATCCTAAATTACTTGTTGAAATTAATTCTTATTGCAATGAACAGACCCTATATGATCTTTCTTTGGTAAACCGTTATTTTGCAAAATTTACCATTTCTTATTTATGGAGAGATCCATTTATTTATTATTTTCATGAAAGTGTCAACCGAACATTATCAATTAATGGTATTATATAATTCTGCCTATAGTTTGTTCAACTTGATTGAATAGTAAACCAACTAAAAAGTAATAAGAAAATTACACATTGTCATATATTAAAATACTATAATAAAATAGATAACACAAATTAACATGTATATACCTCAAGTAGCTTACCTTGTGCTTCAGGAACTGACATCTTGACGAATTCGAATCATATTGGCGGAAATATGAATTTAGGCTTTTTTTTAGATATATTTACATAAACATATGATAGTCATCTGATCACAAGACATCCCTTAATAAAAACAAAAATAATACGAATTTTATATTATTTTAAATACATTATTAACGTCTAACCAATCTCCCCAACCTTCAACCAATTTCTTATTTTGAAATTGTAAACAACTGTAAGTAATCGCAAGTAAATCACAAAAGTAAGTATAAGCTTTATATATGTATAGTAATGGTTAAAAACTAATTTAATTTTAAAAAATTATTTATATATAATAGTTTAATCTGAAATGACACTTGAGAATATTAAGCGTGTTTTGTGTCCTCTTTGTGTTAACAAAACTTTTAAAAATTCTCATAGATTACATATTCATCAATCAGCTATTCACAATACAAAAAAACATTTATTGTCGCAGCTGATGCTGAAAACGGCTGAAGCTGAAATTTGGGGTCTCGATTTAAAAATATAAGCTCTGCTAAAATCTACATATACTTGTTAATTATCAAGTCTAACCCTAAACACTAACTCAACTATAAAAAAAAAGCGGGGAAAAAACACACCAAAAAATTTTAAAAAATTCATATCAAAATAGATCTGAATTTCAGCATCAGCCATTTTCAGCATCAGCTGCGACATTTATTAAATAAAGAAAATGAACATTTAACTTGTATACTTTGTCCAAAGAAAATTTATAAGAGTATACAAGGTCTTCATCAACATGAAACTCTTCGACATCCACATTATAATATACCTTCTCTTAATCTTATCGATCTTCCTCAGCAACATATTAATGAGATCAAAGAAACTTTAGTATATTTAATTCAAACATGGCTTAAAATAAATACAGCTAGTTCAGGATCTCAATGTATTTTGATTCCATGTACTGAATCAGAGTTTGTGGAAATATTTCGAGATTTTATAGATCGCTATTCACCTGGCAGTAATCAATACTTATGCATATTTCAAGGTTCTAATGCATATGAAACACTTGGCAAACTTTTAAATCGACCAAATTGGGGTGTACGAAAATATCAGCACGGACAAGAAATACAAGTTACATTTGTTGATGAGTTTATTACCAATTCCAAATCTCCAGAACAAACAGAACAAGTACAATCTTAAAAAACCAAAAGCAAATACAATAAAAAAGATACTTCACAGCTGACTATTGAGTGGAGAAGAAAAATAATTACTGATAATGCTAATAATAAATCGTTTAGTGGGTGGATAACTATTTGATTTGTTATAGACCAATTGTATTATGGGACTTTAGACTAGACAAGAATAATTTCTTGTTATAAATTACATGTACATATTTCGAAAATAATATATATAATAAAATGTTAATATTTGTTCGATTTTATAAAATATTTTCAATTATAATATTTTCAAATTAATTTATTGAAATACTTTATGGAGATTTTAATTTTTTTTTTTTGATACATTAATTAAAATATAAAACAAGATACTAAAGCTTTAAATATTCAGGTGATAGTTCGAATCTGAATCATCCGAATTAAAATTAATAATCCTGAATCGACCTTGACCCAATATTTCATTTGACTTAAAAAAACAAGATCTAAGATGCAGGATGCTAGCCCATTTTCTTAATTTAAATCCAACAATTTATTATTCGAAGCAAAGCCGAGGATGGGCAAAAGATTCAAAATAGTTTTAAGAGTAGGATGAGTAAATATAAGCAATTTCAAATTACCACTATCATTCAATCAGAATAAAATATGGAGCAGTGTTTCATAGTCCAATAAATCCCATTTCTCTAGTTGTTAAACGATCTTAAATACTTACAACTATGGGTAATATTCACAAACTTAAATAATGATGTACTAGTAATAGAAAATCCGTATTGTTAAATCTAACCCCAACATTTGCCAATCCGAATAGATTACGTGGTATAGGTTTCCGAATTAAGATTCGAATAACCTTACCCTCAATCCGAAATATATTTCGGATCCATCTGCCTAAAATTGACGGATAAGGATATCCACACTTTAATCTAAATTAGTGGGATTGTAGATTGAAGCACCATAAGATACCTCTATAAATCCTTCGCTTTTGTATCTAATGATTTGGGGATAATCAATTTGTATCATTATCGCATTACTGATATTTCAGGATTTTAGTCAGCTTGAAATTTATAATGAATTCTCTGGTATTACCACTCAAGGTACCAAGTCAAGAGCCATTACTATCCATTCCAATGAATCCAAACTTGCTGTCTGATTCTAGCAATTCAAATAAAGCTTCTGTGTGAAACTTGTTATTGCATAGGTAGAGAGAAGTATTAATGGCTTTAAAAGATTCAAATCAATGTCAACCTTTTTTTCTTTCCCTCATCAGTAACAATGGTACTACAGTAAACGATAAGTCAAAACTAATAGAAAGATAATTAAAAATATTCTGATTAATAATATAGAAAATCTAGATCATATCATATATTTACATACCTTTATTGTTTAGTTTCAACCTTTTCTGCATTAACGTAATAGCATCAAACACAGATAAACGATTCGCCCAAAATTTAATGTTAGAAGCAGCTCTGTATTCATCTGCCAACATTTTTGTCACATGAAAAATCGGATCCTTGGAAGCTATTAAAATATTAAATATGTACTTAGAAATTAAAATTATGTCTAATCAACTTTTAATATCAATAACCTACGAATGATAAGAGAGATTATAAAAGTTCCGTTCCTGTCATATAATAAATATGAAATCAGACTTCTCATCTACACTCAA